GGTGCTGGAGCTGTTGCTCATGGAGGTGCTGCTGGAGCTGGACCTGCTGGAGGTGCTGGAGCTGGTGGTGCTGCGGGAGTTGTAGCTGGAGACCCTGGAGCTGAGGGTACTGGTGCTGTCTCTGCTGTTTCTGGAGGTGCTGCGCGGCCGCGACCGTACTACGTTCCGCTCCTTCAGCAGGTTCTTCGTCTCCCGCCTTCTCCTAGTCCTACTCCTCCTTTACTGAGTCCACCGCCTGTCCAGTCACCGTCGTAGTTACAGCCCGCCTCTCCACTGCCTGGTTCTTCTCCTTACTCTGGACCGACTAGAGGTCTCACGGAGCGTCGTGAGCCTGAGTCTCGTCCTGCGTCGCCTGAGTCTCGTCCTGAGTCGCCTGTTCGCCCTGTTCGCATTGGTCGTCGTGTTCCACGTCCGCGTCCTCCTCCTGTCCCCGGCACTCACTCTATGACTCTGCGTCCTTCCTCTGCTCCACAGCGTGTCCCTCTGCCGTCTCCTCCTGCGTCCTCTCTTCCTGCACTTGCTGACCCGGAGTCTGACTCCCTTCGTACTGCTAGTCCTACTGTCACGCATCTCCTGGCCACTGTTATCACTGACCCTTCCTTTGAGTCCACTGCTGCGTCTGCCTTAGTTGCTGAGCTTGTCGACTTTGCTGCTCACTGTCGTCTAGACTACGCCGCTAGTCTTGTTGTTGAGTCTGCGTCTGTCTATCCTCCGTCCGTCGGGGGTGAGTGTGCTCTTGGCACGGACGTCCTTGAGGACAGACAGGAGGAGTTTGAGTGCTTTGCCGCTGCTGTACCTCATCTCGTGTCCATGCTGCTTGCCCCTGAGGGAGACCCGGATGCACCAGACATCCCGATCCCGCGCTCTTACGCAGAGGCGATAGAGGGTCCTTAATCCTCTCAGTGGCATGCAGTCATGGATGCCGAGATGGCATCCTGGAAGTCCACAGGCACCTACGTCGACGAGGTTCCCCCACCTGGGGCGAACATCGTCAGTGGCATGTGGATCTTCAGGGTTCTCCGCCTCTCTTCAAGGCGCGTTACATTGCACGAGGCTTCAGTCAGCGACAGGGAGTTGACTTCTTCCAGACCTTCTCCCGTACCCTGAAGATGACCACTCTTCGGGTGCTGCTGCACGTCGCCGCTCAGCGTGACTACGAGCTACACTCGCTTGACTTCAGCACAGCCTTCCTACAGGGCAGCCTGCACGAGGAGATCTGGCTGCGCCGCCCACCTGGCTTCACTGGGTCGTTTCCTGCTGGTACCCAGTGGAGCCTCTGGCGGCCAGTCTACGGTCTCCGCCAGGCACCACGTGAGTGGCACGACACACTGAGGATGACTCTTTCTGCTCTTGGTTTTGCTCCTTCCACTGCTGACCCATCGCTGTTTCTACGCACCGACGCCACTCTGCCGCCGTTCTACGTTCTTGTGTACGTAGACGACTTGGTCTTTGCTACTGCTGACACTGAGGCACTCGCCCACGTGAAGTCAGAGCTGCAAAAGAGACACACATGCACAGACCTGGGTGAGCTGACAAGCTATCTTGGCTTGCGGATCACCCGGGACAAAGCACAGCGCACCATTACCCTGACTCAGTCACACATGGTGTAGTAGGTCCTTCAGTGTTTCGGCTTCACTTACTCCTCGCCACAGTCCACTCCTCTGCCTACTGGTCACTCGCTCTCAGCTCCACCTTCGGACGAGTCCGTAGAGCCGAGTGGCCCGTATCCAGAGCTTGTGGGCTGCCTCATGTACCCGATGAATTGCACACGACCTAACCTTGCATACCCTCTCAGCCTTCTGGCTCGCTACGTGGCTCCCGGTAGGCACCGCAAGGTGCACTGGGATGCTGCGAAGAGGGTGTTGCGCTACTTGTGCAGTATGTCGGGCATGGGGCTCGTGCTTGGAGGACGGTCTCGAGTTGTCCTCACTGGTCACGCAGACGCTTCCTGGGTTGACGACTTGGCTACGCAGCGGTCATCACAGGGCTACACCTTCAGCCTTGGCTTCGGTTCTGTCTCGTGGCGGTCTACTCGCTCATCTTCTGTTCTCAGCTCTAGTTGTGAGGCTGAGATCTATGCTGGGGCCATGGCTGCACAGGAGTTACGTTGGCTCACCTACCTGCTAACCGACTTGGGAGAGGCGCCTCGTTCTCCTCCAGTTCTGTACGTCGATAACAAGGCAATGCTTGCCTTGTGTCAGGAGCACAGACTAGAGCACAGAACAAAACACATTGCTCTGCGCTACTTCCTTGCTCGAGAGTTGCAGCAGCGTGGTCAGCTTCGTCTTGCTTACGTGGGCTCTCGGGCCAACACTGCTGATGTTTTCACCAAGGCACTTCAGCCTTGTGATCATCAGCGTTTCAGTACTGTTCTAGGCCTTGTACCTACTGTGCCTCACTTGCTTACTTCTTGACTCTACTTGTACTGTGATCTCTATACATATACCTGCATGCTTACACTTGCTAAGTTGTGATCATTGTATTGCTTGTTCTCCTTTATATAACTCTGCATGTGAACTGGCCTTGTGGCCATTTGCTTGTGCTCAGAATGTGTGGTGACTTGGTGATCCACCCTGAGCTTGCTTTGCCTTTCTTGACCGGTCTTGTGACCTCTTGTTCTCCCCCACTTTGCCTATGGGGGTGTGTCAAACTTATATGCTATAGTCTGTTTAGGCTGTAGTGGGGCAGTTCATATGGGGTACAACACTTTTAGGTTTCCTACTTGTACCCACCTGCTTGCTAGTTCAATCATTCATTCGTTCAATATTCTGACACAAACGAGCAGCAGAACATTCGGTCTTATCGAGGATATGGCAACTCCGCCGAGCTAGCGTACGACCACCTGAAGAACCTGTATCAAGCAACAGACAGTGTTAACCAAAGTCGTCTCATGGCACAGCTGACAACAGTGGAAATGAAACCTGGCGAAAAGGGAATGGCGTATATCAGCCGTTGTCGTGGACTGCGCGACAGACTCCTTCGATGCGGAGGATCGATATCCGAAGAAGCCTTCGTAACAGTCATCATCGCTGGCCTCGGTCCTCATTGGCGCTCTACTCGAGCACACCTTCGAGCTCACGGGAAAATCTCAGAAGCAACACTTTGTGCCGAAATTCACGCTGAACAGCAAGATATGGACCTGCACGAAGAACGACACAAGAAGAAAGCGTTAGCAACAAAATTCACGTTTCACATTCAACGACGCTACAAGAACAACAACAACCGACAAAACAACCGTCAGATTCAACAATATGTCCCACCGTTCCGTCACCTCTGCAAGACGCCCAGACATCCGTGCACACACTACCCGAATCAGCAGCAGACGACGTCGCCGCAACGTCAACTTCGACCCTCAAGCAGTCAAGTAACTTCTACGTAGGCGCATCCCACGTCTTCAACGCCATCAACGACAAACCCTGCACAAGGCACAAGAAACGTCATAAACTGTATGACAAGAACGACAGACTCCTGCATCACCGGATCACCACCGTTCTACTCACCAGAAGAACAACTCGACGAGCACACTCTTCGCCGCGAGTCACTGGAGCCCAACCCGACGTATGCAGCCATCGCCCAGAGCGAGCCGTCCGGGAAAGACACTTGGTTCTTGGACAGCTGCTGTGGACAACACATGTGCTCCTCAGGTCGCTTCGTTCAACAGGAACATCAACTTCAGCGCGAAGTTGTAATCACCGTCGCCAACAACCAGAACCTGCACACACGACGACAAGGGATCGTGCAACTTCAGTCTCGAGAAACTAACATTATTTTACAAATGTCAAAGGTTTTAATTGCAGAAGGACTCGGCTACAACTTACTCAGCGTCAGTCAACTGATGGCAAAGGGCATTCATCTCGAAGCAGATAGCACCACCCAGGAGTTCAAGCTATTCCACGGAAAGGGCAGACTCTACATTGGCAAGGCAGTCTTGAAGAATAACGTATTCGTTCTTGATTTCGTCCTGGACCAAGGTACCGCCGACAGTGACACCATCATCAATTTCACCTCTTGGACACATCCACCAGATCTCGACCCCGAATTAATCCTGGAGGATTTTGGTATTCACATACCATACCTGAAGCAGAAAGGACAAGGGCAGTAGCAACAATCCGGTAAGAAGAAACAACATCGACAGCAGCAGAGACAACATCAGCAACAGCAGCAACACCTACGGCACCAATCGCATGTCAGAAAATATAATTATATGTTCTGTTATATAACTGCCTGTAGGGTTTACTGTAGTGTAGCTCCTATTGTTTGGTGGTGCACCTTTCTTCATTTTGCTATATGTACCTTGTGTGCTATAGTGAAACCACTCATTCCATCATTCCTCTCATCACTCTCCTTTTCAATTCTCTCGACACTCAACTCTCTCGACACTCACTAGCCATGGCTCCTAAGTCACGCTAGGATTCTAACATGGTATTAAGAGCAATAGTTCCCAGGACCTCACATTGATGGGCCCACCACCTAATGCCCTGCTAGCCTAGGCCCCTGCCTGTCACCCCTTGGCGTCGCCCCTAGCCCCTAGACTCGGCCCCTTGGCCCCGTCGCCCCTAGCTCGGCCCCTCGGCCCCGCTGGCCCCGTCGATTCCGTCGCCCGCGCCCGGCCCGTACCTAGCCCGCGATCGGCCCGTACCTAGCCCGCGCCCGGCCCCGTCTCGCGCCCGCTCCGGCCCGTACCTAGCCCGCGATCGGCCCGTTCCTAGCCCCGCGCCCGGCCCGTACCTAGCCCGCGACAGGCCCGTACCTAGCCCGCGCCCGGCCACGTCTTACGCCTGCGCCCGGCCCCGTCTCTTGCCTGCGCCCGGCCCGTACCTAGCCCGCGCCCGGCCCCGTCTGTCGCCAGCGCCTGGCCCCGTACCTAGCCCGCGGCCGGCCCGTATCACGCCCGCGCCCGGCCCCGTACTTAGCCCGTGCCCGGCCCAGTACCTAGCCCGCGCCCGGCCCCGTTCCGCGCCCAGCGCCCGGCCCCGTACCTGTCCAGCGCGCGGCCCTGTTTAGTGCCCGGCCCCGTACCTGCCCAGCGCCCGGCCCCGAACCTGCCCAGCGCCCGGCCCTGTACCTGCCAACGCCCGGCCCCGTACCTGCCCAGCGCCCGGCCCCGTACCTGCCCAGCGCCCGGCCCCGTACCTGCCCAGCGCCCGGCCCTGTACCTGCCCGGCGCCCGGCCCCGTACCTGCCCAGAGCCCGGCCCCGTACCTGCCCAGCGCCCGGCCCCGTACCTGCCCAGTGCCTGGCCCCGTACCTGCCCAGCGCTCGGCCCCGTTCCTGCCCAGTGCCTGGCCCCGTACTTGCCCAGCGCCCGGCCCCGTACCTGCCCAGCGCCCGGCCCCGTACCTGCCCAGCGCCCGGCCCTGTACTTGCCCAGCGCCCGGCCCCGTACCTGCCCAGAGCCCGGCCCCGTACCTGCCCAGCGCCCGGCCCCGTACCTGCCCAGCGCCTGGCCCCGTACCTGCCCAGCGCCCGGCCCCATTCCTGCCCAGTGCCCGGCCCCGTACCTGCCCAGCGCCCGGCCTCGTACCTGCCCAGCGCCCAGCCCCGTACCTGCCCAACGCCCGGCCCCGTACCTGCCCAGAGCCCGGCCCCGTACCTGCCCAGCGCCCGGCCCCGTACCTGCCCAGCGCCCGGCCCCGTACCTGCCCAGCGCCCGGCCCCGTACCTGCCCAGCGCCCGGCCCCGTACCTGCCCAGCGCCCGGCCCTGTACCTGCCCAGCGCCCAGCCCCGTACCTGCCCAGCGCCCGGCCCCGTACCTGCCCAGCGCCCGGCCCCGTACCTGCCCAGCGCCCGGCCCCGTTCCTGCCCAGTGCCCGGCCCCGTACCTGCCCAGTGCCCGGCCCCGTACCTGCCCAGCGCCCGGCCCCGTCCCTAGCCCAGCACCCGGCCCCATACCTGCCCAGCGCCCGGCCCCGTCCCTAGCCATGGCCCCGTCGCCCCTAGCCATGGCCCCTCGCAACCTGCCGCCCCTAACCGCGGCCCCGGTGCCCTGTTGCAACATGGTGGGTGAGGGGGTGGCAAGAGGGGGTTCCTCCTGCCCGTACAACCCAATTAGGGTTAGTACTTGTACCCAACTCTTTGCTAGTTCATTCATTCTCGTTCATTCTCTTGGCATGGTTTCAGAGCAGGTCCTCCGCTAGGACAAAAAAAAAAAAAAAAATCCTTAAGCCCACCACTACCCTGCTCATAGGCCCGTCGCCCCTAGGCCCGTCGACCCTAGCCTACGCGCCCGGCCCGTCGACCCTAGCCTACGCGCCCGGCCCGTCGACCCTAGCCTACGCGCGCCCGGCCCGTCGCCCCTAGCCTACGCGCGCCCGGTCCGTCGACCCTAGCCTACGTGGCCCGTCGACCCCTAGCTCTAGGCCCATCGACCCCTAGCCCAGCGCCTGGCCCCGTCCTTAGCCCGCGCCCGGCCCGTCGACACCCAGCCACGCGCCCGGCCCCGTAGCCACCTAGCCTACGCGCGCCCGGCCCGTCGACCCTAGCCTACGCGCCCGGCCCGTCGCCCCTAGCCTACGCGCGCCCGGCCCGTCGACCCTAGCCTACACGCCCGGCCCGTCGCCCCTAGCCTACGCGCCCCCGGCCTGTCGACCCAAGCCTACGCGCCCGACCCGTCGACCCTAGCCTACGCGCGCCCGGCCCGTCGCCCCTAGCATACGCGCGCCCGGTCCGTCGACCCTAGCCTACGCGGCCCGTCGACCCCTAGCCCTAGGCCCGTCGACCCCTAGCCCAGCGCCCGGCCCCATCCTTAGCCCGCGCCCAGCCCGTCGACACCCAGCCCCGCGCCCGGCCCCGTCGGCCCCTGGCTCAGCGCCTGGCCCCGTCGACCCCTAGCCCGCGCCCGGCCCCGTCGCCACCTAGCCCGCGCCCGGCCCCCCTCGTCGACCCCTAGCTACGTGCCCAGCCCCCCCCCCCCCCCCCCTCCCCGTCGACCCCTAGTCCGTGCCCGGCCCCGTCGGCCCCTAGCCCCGCGCCCAGCCCCGTCCCTAGCCCGCGCCCGGCCCCGTCGTCCCCTAGCCCCGCGCCCGGCCCCGTCGACCCCTAGCCCGCGCCCGGCCCCGTCACAACCTAGCCCGCGCCCAGCCCCTCGGCCCCTTAGCCCCATTATCACTGCTGCTACTGCTACAGCTGCTACTGTTACTCCTGCGTGCTGCACAGCTATGGCTTTGCTTTGGGTTCTTGCGTTTGATCATGAGGGTAGACCGGTTCAGTTTGACACGTGGCTTGATGACTTGCAGCTGTACCTACTGAGCGATTCTAAGGACAGTGTCTCGCTGTTTGACCTAGCGTCAGGCGCTGCTATTGCCCCTCCCGCCACAGCTGACAGTTCGACTCGCTCACAGTGGCTTACTCGCGACGCTGCTGCCCGCTTAGCCATTCGCAACCACCTGCCATTAGCTGAATGCGCTCACTTTGGACAGCACAGGACAGCGAAGGCACTGTACGACGCTGTAGTCGCTCGCTACTCCTCCCCTGCCACTGCAGCTCTAGGCCGCCTCCTTCTGCCCTACCTGTTCCCCGAGCTGTCCGCCTTTGCCACAGGCGAGGACCTGGTTGCCCACCTTCGCGCTAGTGGCGCTCGCTACAGTGCTGCCGTTCCTGCTAAGTTCCTTGACAGGAACCCGCCCCCGATGTACATCACTCTCTACTTTATAGTCACCCGCCTCCCTGACTCTCATCGCTCTGTCAGGGACCACTTCCTCTCTCTTGACCCCACCTCCCTCACTGTTGACCTCCTCGAGCAGCATCTCCTCGCAGCTGAGACTAGTGCAGTTGTTGTAGGTGCTGCTCGTGGCACTCCGTGCCCGCCCTTCTTTGAGGGGTGTTCCCCCTCCCCCCTTGCCCCCTCCTATGCCTCTGCTGCTGCTGCAGATCTCTCTGTTCCTAAGGACGTCGGGGCTGCTTCTGCTAGTGCGAAGTGCCGCAACAGCAAGGGCAAGGGTGGCCGGGGTGGTGGTGGTGGCAGCGGTGGTGGTGGAGGTGGCAGCGGGAGTGGTGGTGGGGGCAGCAGTGGAGGTGGTGGCGGCGGTGGGACAGTTGGCGGGAGTGGGGGCTCTGGTGGCGGTAGTGGAGGCAGCGGTGGGAGTGGCGGCAGTGGAGGCGGTGGGACTGGTGGCGGTGGGACTGGCACTCGGCGTGTCGGTTCTGGGGGTGGCCAGCGTCAGCAGCAGCAGCGTCGGAGCGAGACCCCGTCTCCCCGGCAGCTTTGTGAGTGGTTTCTGCGTGGGGCATCTGGGGGTAGTTGCCCGTATGTCATTCGCACGGGTGACTGTGCTGGTCAGACTTGCGGGCGGCTCCACACTCAGCACCGCTGCTTCTCCCGCCTCGACGACGCTTAGCGTGCTGAGTTTGGTGACGACGTCGAGCTCCCTCGCTGGGCAGATCTGCTTAAGTCTAGGATTGCTATCTTTGACCTAGACTCTGATGCTATTCTTTCTGCTATGTATGCTTTGTCTGTTAGTGCTGAGGGTGACTGTTACCGGTGTGTGCCGCCTGATCCAGGTATAGCCGCTGCTGCTCTAGGTGCTAGTGAGTCTGGTACTCTCCCTGGTACTGCGCCTGCTGAGGCCTTGCACACCTTCACGTTGGACTCGGGCGCCTCGCGCTGTTTCTTTCGTGACAGCACCACCCTCACTCCTCTTCCTGCACCTGTCCCGGTGCGACTGGTTGACCCCTCCGGGGGACCGGTCGTGGCCCATTCCTCCACTTTCCTCCCGTGTCCGGCGGTTCCGTCCGGCTCACTGTCAGGTCTTCACCTCCCCTCGTTCTCTACGAACTTGGTGAGTACCGCTGCCCTCCAGGATGCGATGGTCACTACCACCACTCCTGGTGGTCAGCGTGTGTCGATCTGCACGTGCACACGGACGGGCCGTCACCTGGCCACGTTCACTCGTCGGCCAGGGTCGAGTCTGTACACCCTCGCTACCGAGCCTTCTCAGGTAGCTGCGTCTGAGCAGGTGTCTGCGTCAGGTCAGGTAGCCGCCTCTTGCTCGTGTCGCCTCCTGTCGCACCAGACTCTTCTGTGGCACCACCGCCTGGGTCATCCCTCTCTGCCACGCCTTCGTGGCATGCACTCTCGTCTTCTTGTCTCTGGTCTACCCAGGTCTCTGCCTTCCCTCCCGCCCTCGCCTGCCCCGCCCTGCCTTCCTTGCGTCGAGGGGCGGCAGCACGCCGCTCCTCACTCCTCCTCGTTTCCCCCGACGACTGCTCCCCTGCAGACTCTCCACATGGACCTGTGGGGCCCAGCCCGCGTCAGTGGACAGAGCCGCGAGCGCTACTTTCTGCTGGTCGTTGACGACTACACGCGGTACACCACGGTCTTCCCCTTGCGCAACAAGGGCCAGGTCGTTGATGTCTTGATCCCTTGGATCCGCACAGTCCGTCTCCAGCTTCGCGAGCGGTTTGGCCAGGACCTTCCTGTCATACGTCTGCACTCTGATAGAGGTGGTGATATCTCCTCTAGCCTCTTGCGGGAATTTTGTCGTAGGGAGGGCATACTCCAGTCGTTCACGCTTCCAGAATCCCCTCAGCAAAATGGGATTGCTGAGTGCCGCATTGGCTTAGTCATGGAGGTTGCTCGTACCTCCATGATCCATGCGGCTGCTCCCCATTTTCTTTGGCCGTTTGCGGTCCGGTATGCTGCACATCAGCTCAACTTCAGGCCCCGTGTTTCCTTGCCGGAGACCTCGCCCACACTGTGTTGGACGGGGGAGGTTGGCGATGCGTCGGTGTTCCGGGTGTGGGGATATCGTGCCTTTGTTCGCGATACGTCCGCGGACAAGCTCTCCCCCCATGCTATCCCCTGCGTCTTCCTTGGCTTTGTCCCTGACACGCCTGGCTGGCAATTTTACCACCCCACCTCTCGCCGTGTCCTCCCGTCTCAGGACGTCACGTTCGACGAGTCGGTTCCCTTCTACCGTCTCTTCCCCTACCGCTCTGCCCCTCCCCCGCCCCCGCCGCTCTTCCTTGCTCCCGGTCCCCCTCCGGTAGACCCCCTCCCGCCCCAGGGTCCTGCTCCCTCAGGTGTGTCTCAGGTAGACCCTCTCCTTGGTCCTACGCCTGTTCAGGTAGCTGTCGGCTCAGGTGCTGCTCGAGGTGGTGCGTCTGGGGGTGCTGCGTTTGGGGGTGCGGAGCCTGGGGGTGCGGAGTCTGAGGGTGCTGAGACTGGGGGTGCTGAGCCTGGGGGTGTTGGGACTGGGGGTGGTGAGCCTGGGGGTGTTGAGCCTGGGGGTGCTGCGTCGGAGGTTGCGGAGTCTGGAGGTGCTGAGCCTCACGGTGCTGGTTCGTCTGGAGGTACTGCTGGTGCTTCACCGAGACTGTCTCCGCAGCAGCTGCGTGAGTGGTTTGTTCGACGCGCACGCCTTCGGAGTGGAGTTATCGGAGCTGGAGGTGCTGGAGCTGCTGGAGCTGGAGGTGTTGTAGTTGCTGCTGAAGCTTGTGTTACTGGAGGTACTGCGGCCACTGGTCCTGGAGGTGCTCGTACCCGGGGTACTGAAGCTGCCGGGACTGGTGGTGTTGAGGGTGCTGGAGCTGGAGACCCTACGGAGTGTGGAGCTACTGGTGCTGGCGGCTTTGGCGCTGGTGGCGCTGGAGCTGGAGGAGCTGGAGTTGGAGGCACTGGCGCAGGAGACGCTGGAGTTGGAGGCTCTGGTGTTGGAGGTGCTGGAGCAGGAGGAGCTGGAGCCGTTGACCTTGGTGGCACTGTGCGGCCGCGCCCGTACTTCGTTCCCCTGCTTCAGCAGGTTCTTGGTACCCCGTCTTCTACGAGCCTTACTCCTCCCCTCTTGTGTCCCCCGCCTAACAAGTCGCAGCCGCTGTTACAGCTGACCTCTCCACTGCCTGCTCCTTCTCCTTAGACTGAGCAGTCCGGCGGTCTTACAGAGCGTTGTGAGCCTGCGTCTCGTCCTGTCTCGCCTGTTCGCACTACTCGTCGTGTTCCTCGTTCGCGTCCTCCTCCTGTCCCCGGCACACACGCTATGGCACTCCGCCCTTCCTCTGTTCCACTGCGTGTTCCTCTGCCTGCTCCTCCTGAGTCCTCTCTTCCTGAGGTCCCTGACCCTGAGTCTGACCGCGCTCGTGCTGCGAGTCCCACTATCGCTCGTCTCCTCGCCACTGCTGTCACTGACCCTTCCTTTGAGTCTGCTGCTGCGTCTGCTCTCGTTGCTGAGCTGCTTGACTTTGCTGCTGC